TCTCTCTCTCTCTCTCTCTCTCTCTCTCTCTCTCTCTCTCTCTCTCTCTCTCTCTCTCTCTCTCTCTGTGTCTGTCTCCCTCTTTCTGTGTGTTGATCCTGCGTCCGCTGGCATCCTGCTCCCTGTGTCTAGGCCCTGAAGAACATGAGGGGAGCTTCGGCTCGGGACTCAGCTTGCGGCCGAGAATTGTGATGCAATTGTGCCGCATCGCATAGTTTGTGTTGGGTGGATCGGTTTGCTCCAACAAAATATATCGTTGAAAGGAGGACAACTTTCGCACGGGCCTCTCTACCTGCTGTCTTGCCTGCCGGCCGGCCCTCCTGTCTGCTTGCCTGCCTGCCTGTCTGCCTGCCTGCCTGCCTGTCTGCCTGTCTAACGTAACGCCCACGCACCCATCTCGCAATCCTCAAGAACACATGTACACACTTGTCAACTGCTGCCATCGTCATTAGGACTGACGGTCTGGCTGGATGAGCTGTCTACGTTACTGGAAAAGAGAGCAGATGCAAGAAGCTGCGGGCGCGGACGATCTGCACAACAACAACAACAACTCTGGGTCTATAATGTGAGGCTCCGGACAGACGCCACGGAATTCAATTCAGCGTGCTCTGCGTGCGGAGGGTACCCTACCTGGGTTAGGCCGGGTACCTCGGGTAGTAGGGCCGTTGGGGGAGGGAGAGGGGGAGGAGGAGGAGTGAATGCTGCGGTAATCAGTGGGTACGACGAGGGGGTGTGCGGGATTGCACTCAAGATACTCAAGATACTCAAGGGACTCAACGCCTGACGACGGAGAGACTTGGAATGCGCATTACCACGGGGCCTTAGGAGTAGGCGCGAGGGGGAACAAAGATTAGGCGGGTGCTCAAAGCTCAGGAGGCGGTTGAAGGCCGGCTCTGAGCGGAGAGGGCTCCAGAGGGAAGTGGAATCAACGGCAACGAAAGACAAAGGAGGTGGAGGGGTATCTGAATGCTGTGGTGAGAGCAAGGAAGGAGAAGGGAGGGGCACAACAGCGAAGGACAGGCTGGGCGCATGTATGAACTCAGGTGCAAGTCCAACTTGGTTGGGCAAGGAGGAGGCGGAGGAGGAGGAGGGGGAGGAGGKGGAGGAGGAGGAGGAGGGGAGGGAGGAGGAGTCGAGGGGGGTGGAGGGGGAAGGGAAGTAGGAGGAGATAGGCTGGGAGGGGGTTGCCGGAAAGGCGAACCCCTCAACAGCGTGAAACGGAGTCTCAAAGGGTCTCGTCAGGACGGGCGAGTAGGGGTACTGGTGATAACCGACTAAGGGGACGGAGACGTTCAACAATCTTCAAGAGGCTTTTACTGTGCTGCACGTGCTCGACTTTGGAGGCTTCTGCGGCCGTTTTCCACGTGCCATCGGCCGTCATGCCAGGGCCGGTGAGAAACTCCGGGCCGTTGATCACGCCAGATGAATGGCTGCGAGCACAGCTCGTCCGGGTGCGGGCTTGCAACGCTTCCTCGGCGATCGTCGATGATGAGATGCTCGACACCCTTCCAGCTTATTGCGCTCGTTCAAGAGATGAAGACCTCCAAGAGTACATATTGGTATGCACCATCTTCTTCTTCTTCTTCTCTCTCTCTCTCTCTTTTTCTCATTTTCTTTCTTTCTCTTTCCCTTCTTGCTTGTTCTACGCCCTGCCTTCCCCGTCCCGCGTCGGCTCTTTTCTCCCCTTCCCATATCATAACCTGCTCCCTCGTTTCGTTGCGACGTTCCCTCTCGCTAGCTCTCTCGCTACCGTCTTCACCCGAATAGAACGCCCGGTACTTGTTGCTGCATCTGGACTGAAAGTTGCATCAAATTCAGCTATAATGACCGGGCGTTCTATTCGGGTTAAGACGGTAGCTCTCTCGCCAGCTCTCTCGCTAGCCCTCTTTGTCTATTCATCTCTTTCCCCCAGGCCGTTGCACTCCCGCCTCAGCTCAGTGGTGGTGGGAGAGATGAGTAATGGTGGTGGTGGTGCGGTAGACCGAACGGTGGAAGGCAGTTGCTGTTCCATCGTGACCTGCCTCCCTTCCTGCCAGCCTGTCTGATGACAATAAGTCGAAGGCAATTACATCTAATTGCGCCCGGATTATATCAGTCAATAATGAATCGAACTGTCCAGGACCTTTTTTTTTTTTTTTTTTTTTTTTTTTTAAATTCCAGGACTTTTGTGTTCCAATTGGCCGGCCAGCTGCGAACAATCTTCTTTTTTTTTTATGCGTTTCGGTCTGGCCGCACTACTCACGAATGCACAAACGACAAACGTGATGGCGAAGCATCTGTCCATGTTCTAGCGAGATATTCATTCTCGTTTTGTAGATTTGGTCAGTAGTGCGGTAAGGCCCTTTCTTTAGAATCATCGGTTAGCGTAGCCTCCCCCCGTACAGTCCACTTCCCTCAGTTTGCCTACGGAGGGAATTAACCACGCATTTCAATTTCTTTTGGGGTGGGTGTGTATAGGCAGTCCAGAAGTAGGGCCAGTTCCGCGAAAAGTGGGTAGAAGGGAAGCCAAAGGGGGGGGGGGGGGGGGGAAAAAAACAAAAAAAAAAAAAGAGAAAAAAAAAGGGAAATATGAGGGGGTGGGGGGGGGGGGGGGGGGGGGGGGGGGGGGGGGGGGGGGGTACTTCCATCGATGAGCAAAATCCACTGAGTCTACCACTTGAACATGTTAATGTACTGTTTTTTTTTTTTTTTTTTTCTCCGGGTGTGTGTGTCCCGAAACTTGTCAACTGCCGGGGCATTTTGCAAAGTTGAGTTGCTTCCGGTATGGGTACATTGCAAAGATGGGATCCGAAATGTTTTGTCATCGTCCTTGGTCGCAGCGTGGCTGCGGCGAGTCCACTTGTAATAAATAAAAAGTGTTTTGAAAAAGAAAAAGAAATTACTTCATTTTCATCATCTAGTTTTCTCATTTTTTCTTTTATTTTTGAACCAACACTTCCATTGTAAAAATATTAGTACAAGGTCATGGACCTGGCAATTCTACTTGGGGTTATTTGGGGAGCATTACCCACTTTCGCTTACATTCGTAGAGATTGCAAAGTTGCATTAGTAATGAGAAACATAATCATCTCCCTAGAACAATCGCCTTAATAACAAGCACAACACCTTATAGCTCATGCGTTGGCTATCTTTATATTATAGTCTATCCCGACTTAGGCTCACTAGTCTCATTTGTTTGCCCTAATCTATAATAACTAACCTAACTAGCCTATGTAATACACATGCTTATAACTACTATGACCGACCGATTGGAGCTTAGTCAAAATAATCGTGATAGTGACAATGACACTTTGCCAACTGTCTCCTTAGATGGCCTACTGTGACCCGCCCTGGACCTAGTGTCCTGATTTTATCTAAAGCTCCCTGATCCTCTATCTAAGTAACTCACATACCTAACCTCTACTACCCCACCGAGCATCTGACTTGTAGTGAGATTGAAGTCAAGACAACAACAAGTCCCTCATTGAGTGGATTGCTGCTTATTGTTGGTTCATTGCCCATATATGAAGGAACCACCGGATTTGGCGTTCACTCACCTTCCCCGATTTCATTTTTCGTCTCTGATCTACCCAGATGGCATATTTCATTCGCTGCTTGATGTGTCGCTTTATCTTTAAATCTGAGAAAGGGACATCTTTGGAATCTAGATATGTTTTTGTCCAACCTGATTGTTTCATAGATCAGTCCCCTTACCATATGAGCGGTATATATCCCGATCATCGGTGTCCTTCAACATCGAGTGGTAGAAAACCCAACAAGACACACCTTTCGTCCCACTCCACACCCTGGCCCCCAATGTCTCTCCAATGGTGTGTCTATCAATTCCATATTCGTTTTGATGCATGACAATCCCATCACAAATGGCAAGTGAACTCGAATAACCACTTGCATCGTGTGCATTCTAGATTCACGTCAATAACCCGACTCGTCAACCATACTCCTGAGGGGGAGACCATCATTAAAAGCATTTATAGGACGCTGGCTTATCTACGTTTTAGAGGTCTTCTCCCAGACAACATGTCGCTTGGGTAGGGGATTTCAACTTGTGAGCATGTTGCTGGTAATTTGTGGATATTGAGAAATCATTGTATGCAGGCTCAAAGTTGATTCTTACTTCGAGTTTGTTCACCGACTCCAAGTCATAGGATCGATGTAGAGCTAACTGAGTGGCATCCTACCTACCCAAGTGAAGATGTGGGCGAAGGGTTTTCTTCCATGCACTGCTAACACTCGCGCTTGAGTTACGTTATCCTGGAGCAGGATTGTATCCTCTTCCGCTAAGGACAGGTTGTCTGTTAGGCCTTCGTAATGTCACCGTTTCGTTCGCCTTAACCTCCTAGGGAGGATTTCCAACACTTTCCACAATATATCAACCTCTTCTTCTAGATTTAGGATGTACCATGTGCCCACTGGGTCCTTGGATCTAGAATCCCTAACCAATCTTAGGGGATGACTTTGATGATCTGCCCCCAGTGGTCATCTACTCTCTACAGTTCTCGGAGTATTAGCCTTTACCTCGGTCAGGGGCTTCCAGCCACCTTGAATAGTAGACCACAAGTCCAACACCCGCATCACTCCCCAACTTACCCAACCTTAACCAAATGTGTCTCTTAAGCCATCTGCTGCGAAAAATTGTCCCACTTGGTTCAAAATCGTTGGATTTTTAAACAACATCTGATTTGGCATGCCTTCCTTGGTGGATGAGGGACTTTGCAGGTCCGGGGGGAGACGGTTCCACACGCGGGGGATAGGTTCCTTGAAATCGGACTTCAATCATTTCTTGTGAAAAGAGGGCATGAAAAATAAGTCTGGACATCATGCGGTCTACTTACGCCCCATTCACCCATTAGGATATGTTCATGCTTTGCAACCCCGTGATCACTTGGTGGAGGGCACTTTTCGCTACTCAGTAGCACAGTTGCCCCATATTCATGCGTGCAGGATCCAGCAAGCTCAGACCCCTTTCGTCGTGTATGAAGGACAAAGTGTAAAGCGCCACTCTGGATAAAAAATCCCTCGGTGACATGGACTCATGGTTCCCATATGAAACGAGTCACCAATCTCCTAACGACTTTCACCACCCTCATTGCCAGCTCCCTCACAGTCTTGACAAACCAAATAATCGAAAAAAAAAACTACATTTGTCACCAACGTCCGTCTCAACGGAGACAGGTGCCATGCGGTATTGGCTGGCCCACAGTCTAAGGCGAGTAGAGATATGTTGTTATAAAAGTAGGCATTTCGATGAAGCCTAAACTGGCAGACTGATTACCACCCCAAGAATCTTTGTTCCTTCCCACTTTTTACTTTTCTCAGTCCTCATTCTACCTTCAGGGCAAACTGCTCAGTTAGGTGGTAGGTGGACTTACTCAAGTTTACAGTCGCCTCGGACAGCAGGGAATACTCACCCATGATAGACTTCAATGCACCCAGCGAAGTATTTGTGTTCTCACAGATTGTAACCAGATCGTTCGTCGAGGAAAGATGGTTAACGGAAGACCCAAAATTCGGGATTTTTCGCCGCATTACTACAAGCAATGTCGTCGAAAATTTTGCGAACAAACTATGCAAGCTTATAATACAAACACCAAAAAAACAAATTGGCAAAAAAAAAAAAAAAAAAAAAAATCAAAAGCACTATAAAACCCTATTCGGAGAAGCTTTCGGAGTTCGCCAAAACTTTTTCCGAATTCGTTGTTTTTGCCAACTTTTTTGTTACTGGTCCAAATACATTAAAACTAAATACAGATATACCCTAAAGGATATACATGTAAAAAAAAATAAAAATAAAATCAGGAAAATATGGCAGTTTCGGTGAAAAATTCGCCGAAAATGACACACCTATTAACCACGAGTGTCGTTGAGACCTTCACTTTGCATTATTCTCCAGTATGAAGATGTTGGATCCTTATGTCCAGACACCTATAAATTTTGTTCAGCAAGACATTGAGTTGTAGCACGAAGGTGAGAGGAGTGAGTGAGCAACCTTGACACAGCAAAATAAAAAGAGAAAAAGGTTACGACAAACGGTCGTTAATGATGACAGATGACATGGAGTATGTGTACATTGCAATGATCCAGTTGCATAAGTTTTCCCTAAACCCCATCCTTCTCAGGGTGGTTAGGACAAAAGTTTCACCCACCTTATCGTAGGTCTTCTCCAAGTCAAGGATAAGAACTGTCACAAACATAAAAAAAAAATATTAAAATTAAGTAATCATTTTATAATAAAATTACATTTTAAAATTTAAATTTTCATTCTATATTAAAAAAATGACATTTCACTTTTAAAATATTTTGTCTTACTTGAAAAAATTCCTTCCAAGAATTATGTATCCTTTCTTGTTTGAACTGCATGTTGTAAATAGAATGGAAGTTTGGATGAGTTCATGAAATATTTTAAATAAACTATCATTCTATTATAGTGAGTTTCAGTCATAAATAGGTTAATCAAATCTTAATTATGAGATATTTATTGTAGTAGAATAAAATTTTAATTAAGACATTCATAAACTCATCCAGACTCTCATTCCATCTTCAACAAATAGATGTAGCTGAC